CAAGAGCTTCCTTTGTTTCTTTTGCTGCAGATTTCATTTCAGCTCAAACACTAAGGTAGGCAGGCATTTATTCCAAGGGTCCAGATCCAGCCTGTTTAGCAGAAAACGCTTTGCACATAGGATCAAGGAGATTGGAGGAAATGTCTGAGTCAACAATAAACTCTTGGTTCTGCATATTTCAGGAAAACAACAGTTCTCTTTGTTTAATGATGTGATCCCAGATGATATTAATAATATTATCCTCAGAAATGGTATTGTTGCCACTTCCATCTGGTATAAAGTCAATAGTAATTCCTTCGTTTTTGTATCCATTTTTGCCTTTCTTGTGGTCCTGGGGATGGAACCCAGAGCTGTGCAAAATCTAGGCAAGTGCTCAAACACTGACCTACACTCCTAGCTTAATTTGTCCCCCTGCCTTTTTTTTTTTGTAGCTGTTACACTGCCTTCAAGATGCTAAGTCAATGACACTCTGTCCAAGTTCTTTTTACTAACAAGATGACAAGCCTATTTTGCCCTCCAGACCAAAAGCACAATTACTAGGGCCTTTCCCTATTGGAGCCTGCTTTTAGCCTCACAGGATGTCTGGAGTCTAGCCTCAAGAAATATCTGAGTTTTCCTATCAAATTACCCATTTCAAGTAGGACTGCAACATGTCCAGAGGTCCTTTCTTTCGGATACTCTTGGAGTCCCAATAGTTATCCAATAAGAGTTGAGTAAGTAGCCAGTACTCACTACTGAGTTAGGTACTAGAACAGGTGCACAAATACAGGACTTAGTCTATGTCTTCAAAGAATGTAGGTGGTCTTCATTGAGACCATTTAAGTGGGGTGTTGGTACAAAAAACATCATCAAGGACTGATGCTACAATTTTGAGTGTCCATGTTATGTTTGGCAAGTATTCATGGGTTTTTATAAAACTCTCCAAAAGAACTATGACTCCACTCCTGCCCTACAGGTTACCAAAGACCAAGAAAGACTAGTAGGAGAACTGCCTATTTAATAGCTATTCCTCTTGATATTTTTATAGTTAATATTTTTATAGTTAATGATAGACTATCACACCAAATAAAGTCATCCAAACATAGGTCAAATTTCCCTGCTGTGGGCTGTGGACATACTTCCTTGCCATTGAAGAGGATCTCAGAAAAATTATAAACTATAGCACTCAAGGTGCATTGTGACACTCACAGGTGATTGAAGTCTATGCTGGGAGACAGTTGGGAATATTGCTATCTCAATATCGGTTTGGAGCTGAGAACTATAATAGGACATATCAATCTTTCCTCTATCCTTTTTGATAACATGCTTTGATTTTAGCATTGCTCAATTGAACTTGGAAAGCCCTGTAATATCCTATAAGACATTGATCAGTGCATTGGAAAGGCAAGGATTCATAGTATCCCTCTCCAAATATGAATACACAAACAAATAAATCTGGAGATGAAGCGTGTGGTGGTGGTCTTGTCCATTCTTGTGATTCCAGGCTTTCTCCAGCATATCTTGGTGTCTTAATGAGGACAGCACTAAGGGGGGGTGGGCTTCTAGGCAGATGAGTTTCGTTGCTGTTTTTAGCTGTGTTCTGCTGCCATACACGTTTTCTATTTGTAGGGCTTCCCTGGGGGTAAGCTGATGTGCTAGTCTCCTACTTTCTTCAGACGTCTGCTCAGTCTATGATACTATTCTGACTCGCAAAGCCCTCTTGACTTCCAGCATGGGCATCTCAAGGGCAAAGTCTTAAGTGGTAATTTTCATGGCTGGTCATCTTGAAGTATGACCTTCAGGATCAGATTCTCAGTTCTCTAGATCAGGGCTGCCCAATAAAATATATTATGAGTCACACACATGATTTTTAATTTCGTACTAGCACATGTCAAAGGCAAACTGAAGGAAGAAAACTCAAGCAAGTAATCCAACATATCTGACATAATATCAGTTCAATATATAATCAATTGAGATAGTTTGCTATTGTTATTTGTATCAATCATTTGAAATTCAATGTATATTTTCCATTAACTTCTCTTCTCCGATAGAAGTAGCCACATTTTAAATGACTAAAGGGACAGGAGCTATTCTATTGGAAATTCAGGACCAAAAATTTCCCAGGGAAAAATACAAAGAAAATGCAGCCCCCCCCCCACTGCTAATGGAGAACAGTTGTGCAAATGACTTAATTTCTCCCAATGTGCATTTATCCATTGTATGCCCTAGAGGATCTCTTCTTATCATGGCCAATTAGAAAAATTACCCTCTAGTGTTCTAGCAGCTTCCAAACTTGTGAAATGTTGAATAGTATTATCTGCACACACAAGCAAAGAAAATGGGGCTGTGAAATTAGCATGCTCAAAAAATATGACCATACTTCCAGCCACACACCTGACACACCTTCCATGAAAGTGTTCTAACACACTGATTTGCTTCTGTACAAGTATGAAAATGTCCGGATGGAGGAAGAAGCCCTTCTGGGCCCAGGGAAGAGAACACATGTATAAACAAGACACGCTTCCATCTCTTAATGAACTCTGTGGATGTTAGAGGAAAGTGTTGGATAAAGCAGGGTAAGAGGCAAGTGTGCACTGTGAGGTGAGAATAGCTTGTCACCAGCTCTCAAATGTGACTAGGAATTCTTCGGGGAAGCCAGGTTACAATTGCAATGCATTTACGAGCCAGAAACACATAAAGTAACTACCCTCTATGACATATCACTTCTATTACTACAAGTCGAAGGCCCTTTGAATACAGAACAAGTTGTTTTCATGGAAAGACAGAAGGAGATGATGAGAAAAGGTGCAGACTCTGCTCCCTGTGGCAAGACAGACAGGTAATTTCCAGATGCACAAGAGTGAATATAACAAGCCCACAGGTTGCCAACTTCAGAGTTTTTTTCCATTGCTGAACTAGTTTAAATGCCTCTATGAGCAAGAAAATACAAGGGTAGGGAGGTAGCACAGGCTAGTTAAGGTCAAGGGTTCAGGTATAAAGCAGTCCAGCCACACCTGTGTAACTTGGGGGCCGTGACTTAATTCCTTTGTGTCTGATTTCTCACATTAAAAAAATGGTTAGTTAATAGGATTTGATGATGTGATATATACACAAGGAGCTTTAGGACAATGCCTGGCACGTGACATACATCCAAGCCATGTCAGCGATTATTAGTTTGGGTGCTAATGATTATGTCAGCAAGAATTATTAGCTATAGTACTTTCCTTAATTGTTCCTAAAGTTTCACAAGACTCTCGTATCCAGCAATCCAGATAGAAACTAGGTAAATTCTAGTGAGTATCTCTTTCTCTACGATGGTAAAAGTGGGGCAAAGAGATGAAAATAACTTGTCTGGGGGCTCTGAGGCTGCTCCTCAAATGAGGAGAAAGGTCCATTAAGGAGGTGGTGACAGGTGTCCCCAAAGGGGGATGGGACACATCCAGGCTGGAGCTTCCATTTAACTTCCGTGAGATCTTGAGGAGTTAGCAGTTAGCAGTTCTTGGAGCCCTCAGTTGGGCACCTGCCAAAGACATAATAAGGCATGATGCATGAAGAAGTGGGTGTGGGCGGGCTCAAAAAAAAACACCATTTTTAATTGTCGTGATGACTATTGTAATTAGCAATAACGTCCTTTGAGGCAGATCTTACGGGGCAGCAAGCCAGCGCCTCGCTCCGAGCTGCTGCCACGCGCCCGGCACCCAGCGCGCACGCAGGAGAGCTGGTGGAGCGAACACGCGTCCTCGAGGCAGGGAGGGGCCTGACTGTGCCTCTCCTTATTCCCCAAGCCACAGCCTCGCACATCAGCCCCCGGGCGTCCCAGCTACGACTGCAGTGAGCTTGAAACCCCCACTTCTCCGTGCTGGGGACGTCCGGAAGCACGCAGCGCCGCCGGGGTTGGCCTCGCTCCCGGCCCCTCATTTTTTCTGATTTGCGGTTTATTTATTTAAGCGTTTACAGCTTCCGGGAGCCGAGGGGCTGCGAGGAGCAGGGTGGGGACCCAGGTCCAGGGTCTGATGGCGGCAGCCCGGACAGGGCGCAGCAGGGTCCCCTCCTGGTGGAGAAGATCGGGTTTCCCTCACCTGCTGCCAAACGCCCAAACAAGTGTGGGGTTCGGATGGAGAAGTTGCCTCCGGCCACTGGCCGGCGTGGGGACCAGCAGGGGGAGCAGATTAAATAAAGACGATCTCACCTCCCTCCTTTAATCCCAGACCGCAAAACACTGGTGGTGTCTGTGCCTCGGATTTCTGGAATTCTGGGCGTGTGTGTGTGTGTGTAGGAAGGACGACAGCGTGTAAAAACTCCCCAAAGCCGGGCGCCCGTGGTGGCCCACGTCCGTAATCCCAGCTACTCAGGAGGCTGAGAATGAGGATCCCGGTTCGAAGCCAGCCCGGGCAGGAAAGTCCAGCAGACTCCTATGTCCAATTAACCACCAAAAAGCCGGAAGTGGAGCTGTGGCTCAAGCGCTAGCCTTGAGCACAGAAGCTCAGGGACCGCGCCTAGGCCCCGAGTTCAAGCCCCAGGACCCGCACCCAAACGAGCAACAACAACAAAACTTCCCAAAGCGGCAATCCCAACCCCTCTCTTCCTGGGTCCTTACTGACACCTGGGTGCCAGCGAGGGAAAGACAAGGAAAAGTTTCCAAAGGGTTCGGGGCGCCCAGAAGAGGCGGCCACCGGCTCCAGGTCCCCAGCAGGGTGCGTTCCACGACGCCCGACCACAGCCCCGCCGTCCCTAAGGACGCCCCGCCCCCAGCCCCGTCTCCCCGCGCGTCTATTTAGAGCCCAGCCCGGGTTTCCCGAGGGCTTCTGGGATTGGTAGTCCTTCTGCGCCGCCTCAGGCATTGGCTGAATCTGGCATGCGGACTACATTTCCCAAGGAGCCATCCTGCGTATATAAGCTGCCGGCCGCCGCTTCGAAGTGCAGTAACCATGTGGACGCTGTGCTGAGGCGCTCCCTCCAGCCTGCAGGGGTGGGAGGAGAGGAGGCGGAGGCGGAGGCGGAGGCGGAGGAGGAGGCGGCTGCAGGGGGAGGAGAGCGCGAGCGCACGCCGGCGGAGGTGTGGGTGTTCCGCTTCCATCCTAACGGAACGGGCTCGGACTTCGCGGACATGGGACTACCCAGCGGCTGCTGAACCCCGCTTCCCGCCGGGCTCCCCCAGAGCCGCGCGGCTCCCCAGGGCTCCAAGGTAGCGGCTGGGGCCGGGCGCGGCGGGCGCGGGGGTCGGCACTGCCCGGCTCCCGGGCGCAGAAGTTGGAGTGTGTGCGCCTTCTTTCTTGTTCTTGTGCGCAGCTCTCTGGGAGGCTTTTGCGTGCACTTGGGGCGCACGGGGGGGAGGTTCTTCACCCTGGTAATCTGGGGGGGACGGGCTCGCGAATACATGGATAGCTGTGGTCTGGCTGTCCTGGAATGGCAGTCCCCCAACTTGGACGCAGCTTCTGGAAATAGTTGTGTTTTTTTTGGGGGGGGGTGAGGAGAGGGGTGAGAGGAGCTGAGGGGGTGTCCGAAGTGAGTCTGCTCCAGGAAACTGTCTTTCTAAACGTGTAGCCCTCTGGCCGGCTGCATGATTGGGAGAATAATGTCTGCGTGTGGTGGGGGGGACTCGGGAGGGTTAAAAAAAAACCCCACGAAAACGGAAGAAAGCTGGGGAGGGGGGTGCGGGCGGGAAGAAGTGGGGACGAAGGTGGGGGGCGGGCACGGAGGATGCGGGGGTCTGAGCCTTGTGGCCTGCTTCGGGGGGGGGGTGCCGCCCGGGGAAAGGAACAAGTGCTTGGAGATCTCTTCGAAGTTGGTGCGTGCCAGGCTGGTTTCACTGGCCCTGGAAATAAGCCAGCCTTAATACCTGGAATCTTCTCCCAAGTGGTCCCAACCAAGTTGCTAGCCAAGTTTGGAGGAGGTTGGGGTAGGCGTGTGTGTGTGTGTGTGTGTGTGTGTGTGCTTTTGACCAAGTTTGGAGGGGGTTGGGGGTGTGTGTGTGTGCTCTTGACCAGGAAGGAGGCAAAAGCAGGTAGAAACCTGGAATTTGGAGCCCCTTCCTTCCTTCCTTCCTTCCTCCCTCCCTCTTTCCTTCCTTCCTTCCTCTTTCCTTCCTTCCCTCCCTTCCTCCTTTCTTTTTTTCTGGTGAGAGACCCTTGGCATGATCTCATATTCATTTGTTTTGTACCTCTTTAGGTTGCTGACCACAGAAACACAGGCTTCGGATCTCTGACTGGGCAGTGCTTTGGCAGCAGAGGGCCTGACCCTGGTCAGGTGAGTGTGGAAACCTGTGTGTTGTCAGAAAATGAGGTTTGGTCTTAAAGGCTACTTAAAGTCCTCATTTGAATAAGCAGCAATGGAGAGATAGAAAGAGTATTTAAAAAAAAATGTCATTGCCTTTTTGAGGGTTTTAAATAGCAGAGACAGCCCGGAAGAGTTTCTTTTGATGGTAGCTCAGAATTAAAGCAGCCTGACTGTTTATGGGGGGGAGGGGGGAGGTGGGGGGTGAAGGTGGGGGTAAACTTCATTAAATGGAGTTGTAAAAACGCTGTCCCTTTGGTGGCCTGAGGAGTGTGCTGATGATTTTAATTCTGAAGGATACAGTACTTTTCATTCGTCAAGATAAGGAAGCAAAAATGAAATGCCTCTCTCTTTCAAAAATAGTCACTTTTTTTTTTCTTCCCATGAACCGTATGCTTCATCAAGGTCTTGGATTGCAAGAAATGAAAGTGCTTACTGGCAAAGAATGAGAACTTTAAAAAGGGAAGTGAGTTCTCCTAGCATAAGATAGTAGCATCTGGGCCTTGACTGAAGCCACCTGAACAAACAGCGAGCAATCTCATGTGTACCTATTGTTTTGTTGCCTGTCCTGGGATGTGGCCTGAGAGCAGTATTTATCTATAAGCACAAGAGCTCCTTTTATTTTTCCCCCTCCAAAATGGTCAGACTGCACTCGTAGAAATATAGGTCTCAATGGGTGCATGTCCATCCCCAGTGTTGGAGATTTGGCCATCAAAAGTTTTTTTCTTCTGAAATGGTCAAGGAGCAGGGTAAACAACCCCGCATGGGGGTGGGGTAATAGTGGGCAGCTGTTCTTAGTAACTTTTTTAACATTCTAAATATTTAGCTGTTCCCTGGGCTACAATCTTTGGGCTTTTCTAATGAGAGAATAAAAGCCAGATACTTCATTATGGTAGTATAGTGTTTTTGTTTCCTGTTGATAAGATCCTCAGGAGTTCTGGTGGTGTGAGAAGCATTCAGATGTGTGAGATGTAGCTATTTCTTGGAGTTCTTTTATTGACTAATGGCTGTGTGGGCCCTCATAAGGCCAAAGATTAGATCCTATAGCTACCTTCCTTCAGGATAAGGTGCAGACAAGGAGAAATGGGCCCACAGATTCTTCTCAACTAGGTTGGTTAAAAACAAAACAAAACAAAAAAACAAGACTGGCAGATTAAAACCTTGTGAGCCAGGTCTGACATAGAAGTTTATTTGGAAACCTGAGTGCTTGAAAGCAAGCTATAATAACCCCAGGCAGTGAAGCTGTACTGCATCCCACAAATGTGCCTAAGGTGGGGGTGAGGGTGGAGAGGAAAGAGAGAAGGTCGGAAAAATGATAATTATACTACTGTTAATTTTATTTTTGTCCCACCAATGATAAAATGATATAAGAAGGAAATGATGTAGCTACAGACAGATAAAAGAATGTGGATATTTGAGGAAGTGTTGGATGTGGCTGAGTCTCTTGGAAAACTGTACGTTGAAAGACTTGGAGGACAATAAAAAGAAACAAAGCCAGACAAAACCATGAGGAAAGTTAGCTATGCCTGGCATCAGGCTCATCTTGTACCTGAGGTATATCTTGATCATGAATGACATCAAGGCGTTTGAACAGGTCCAAAGGTCAGGCTGTTCTCTTCCAGAATGATTTGAGGGTTTAAAGTGCAGTTAGTCTGAGAAACGCTGGAGGCCTCTCACACATCCTCAAGCCTGCCTGGGTGGCCAGTAGTGCAGAACATTTTTCTTTTTTTATTTCTTTCTTTCAGTTGTGTTTATTGTACACATGAATGTGTTTGTTAAAAGCACAATAGCCTCTTGGATTCATCCAAAATAAGAACAGAAAATCCTATCAAGATTTCCTTCTTACCAGACAGGGAAAGTTCTTCGTATTCCACATTGACACCATGAAAGTCGTTGGGTGTTGACAGTGGCATCCATTAGAATGTAAAGTGCTTCCTTTGGGAGAGAATGGGCATCTTTTCTTGCAGATGCTCACGAGCGATAGAATGATTGCAGGTGAAGGGAAGAAATGGATTAATTTCGTCAGAAAGCCTTGTTGTCTTTCCTCAAATTATTTTCAGTGAGGAAACATCAAGGGGAGGAGACAGTGAGTGACAGACAGACTGGTGCAGATGGACAGACATTGACTCTGACTGACAAACTAGTTCTGACACTAATCCAGTGGGGTGAAACCAATTCACTTCCCAAGGGAGGGGGGAGAAGCTCACATGGCTCTTTAGCTAATAATGATCTCATGGAAATTCAGATATTTTTTTCACAAGCAGCTATTAAAGGAAAAAAAGGAAAGAAAGAAACAACAGACACCAAATATGAACAACAGGAAAAAAAATAAACCACCCAAACCAAAATAAAAGTAGGTCTGGAGTTAGGTTTCTAGGTCAAGCTGTCCTCGGACCGCCTCATTAAGGAATCTACCCAACACCACTGTTCCATCTTGCTTGCTATTGGTCTGATATTTAAAAATAAGATACATCGCACGTGTAGGATTATTACTAACTAAAAGTCGTTGTGCTCATTTTTTAGTTCATTTTTGCAGGTTCTCCGCCCCCCCCCCCCATGGTTCTTGTAATGAATACAATGAAGCCCGGCCAATAGCATGATTGACATAGCTTTTATGATTCCGTCCCATTGTTATGATGTCACTGGCTTCTGGGATGGGTGCTAATGAGGATGAGCTGAATGAACTTCTGAACCCATCACCTCTTCAAATCAGAGAGTCCCTAGACTAGACTCAGAGTTGAATGCCTATTTGTCATCATTCAAATGTATTCTGAAAAATTTCCTGAGCACTTACTAAGTTCTGAGTGTGTACCAGGTACTTGAGATACAGCAATGAACAGTCTGTACCCAAGAGGGTTAGGAGGGAGACAGACTCATATTATAGCTCAGCAGGTAGTACGTGCTGTGGGCAAAAATGAAGGGTAAAGAGGACCAGAAAATAAGCATTGACCAGGGTGCAGGTGAGTTGGAACCCTTGTGTGTTTCTGATGGGGATGCTCAGTGGTGTAGCTGCTATGGAGAACAGTATGATGGTTCTTCAAAATATATTTAAAAACATTAAAAGAATCACTATAGGGTCTAGCACATTGTAGGTCTTTACCTAAGAAATTAAAAGCAAGGGACTTTGAGCAAGTCTTTCTTTTTTTGTCAGTCATGGGGCTTGAACTCTGAGCCTGGGCGCTGTCCCTCAGCTCTTCAGCTCAAAGCTCTTCAGCTCAAGTGCTCTACCACTTGAGCCACAGCCCCACTTCTGGTTTTCTGGTGGTTTACTGGAGATAAGAGTCTCACGGACTTTCCTGCCTGGGCTGGCTGGCTTTGAACCCCGATCCTCAGATCTCAGCCTCCTGAGTAGCTAAGATTACAGGTGTGAGCCACCAGCGCCCAGCCAGTGAGCAGTTATTTCTATACCTACATTGAAAGCATTCTTTAATTCATAAAGCCAAAGGGTGAAAATAACCCAGTGTCTTTTGATGGATAAATAAAAAAATATAATCTGTACATACAATGGAATATTACTCACTCCTAAAAAGGCAGGAAATTCTAACACATATTTCAACATGGGTGACCCTTGAAGAAACGTTCAAGTGAAATCAGCTGCTGGATAGGAAAGGCACATGCCGCATGGCTCTACTCATATAGGAATACTTTGTTGTCAGAATAGTAGAGCAGAGTATTGATTTGGTTTCTGGGGCTAAGAGGATAGGGCACTTTGTTTAATAGGCACAGAGTTTAGTTTGGAAATATGAATAAGTTCTGGAGATGAATGATGGTCACAGGTGCAGCACTGTAATAATGTGATTGTACACCGGTGCTTAAAACAGGAAATTTCATGTTATAAAAGGATGTTAATAGAGTACTTAGGAAGGGATTCAAAAAGTATAAAGGCTTTTCATTTTTATATTAATCCATATATGCAATTATATATACAAGTATATATGTATGCTCACAATCATGAATATATATGGGTGAAAATGCGCAGTATCTTGCTTTTTGAGTTTGGCTTGCTTCGCTCAACATGTGTTCTACAGTTCTGACCATTTTCCTGCAGATAACATGATTTCAGTTTTCTTTATGGCTGTGATATTCCTGTAGTATGCACCTATACTGTCTTCTGTTATTCATCTGTTATTGGGCACCTTGGCTGATCCCATCATTTGGTTATTGTGAGCAGTGCTACAATAAACAGGAATGTGTGCGGGTGTCTTTCTGGTTTGTTGATTTACTCTCCTTTGGATATATGCCTACTAGTGATATAGTGGGGTCATAAGGGAAGTCTGTTGTTAGTTTTGTAAACACCAGCAGTGTATGAGAGCATCTCTTTCTTGATGGCTACCATCTGGACTTCAGTGAGATGGCTCTTAGTGGGGTCTAGAAGAATCATTTCCTTGTGTTAGCCATTTCAATTTTTTTCTGAGAATTATCTGTTTAGTTCACTTGTCTATTTGTTAAGCAGATTCCTTTATTATGGTTCATTTTTTTGAGTTATTTATATATTTTGGGCATTCATCCTTTATCAGTTGAATAGCTGGGAAGAATTTACTGCCATTGCCTGGGTTGTTTCTAGTTCTGGTGATTGTTTCTTTGGCTGTACAGGAACTCTTTAATCTGAAGTAGTCTCATTAGTCTCATTTGTCAATTCTTGCTCCCACCCTCTGGAGTTCTATTCAGATTTACTTGTGTTGTATAACTTCTAGGCTTTTCTCTACATTTTCCTGTAATAGATTGAAACTTTCAGATCTTACTTTGAGCTTTTTGATCTAGGGTGAAGGATGGAGGTTCAGTTTTAGTTTCCTGAAGGTGGATACTCAAATTAGGAATGGCTTTGGTGATGTTTGAGCAGAGATCTGAAGGGGGTTGAGTCAGCCATGTTGATAGCCATAAAGTCCAGAGCAGCAAGTGCAAAGGTCCTGAAGTAGGAGCAGGTGGGACATGCCCTGGCCAGCGTGGCTCCAGCTGGGGTGGTTGAAGTTGGA